CATACATACATACATACATACATACATACACACACATTCTCCCTCTCTATCACAAACACACACATTCACACTCACATACGTACATACGTATATACAAAGGATTGATACAACAAATAATAGATTTAAAATTAATCAATGACATTTTTTATTGTTGTACCATGTAGTAATCAATAAGTATGTTGTGCACTTGTTTCGGACTGATAGAAAGACAAAGAGAGAAACGGGGAAGAGATGATGATACGCGGTCTAACTAGGAAGTCTGGCTTTGGGTTGGGGGGGGGGGGGACTGGGCGAGGGGTGTGAGTGATCTTAACAATCGGCGCGGGATTACCTGATCGCTGTTCGTAATACTCAACTAATACAATTGTCCATCACTTCCCGTGCCATTTAAAAACTTTCTCCTTCATTCCATTCCTTCTGGTATATTCCTTTCAAACCAAAGACACCACCCTTAAACATCGATAAAACTTTTCTCTCTCCGTCTAGTCAAAGCAAAGACGATTTGCACATACAAAGACCCCTACACTTACATTTTAAACATGTATTTGGTAACAATAACAAAAATAATAGCATATATTTATAAACATATATACATGCATATTCGATCTACTTGTGAAACAGAATTGTGATGGAAGTTCATTTATACATAGACCAAATAATGAAACTTTCCAGTGGGCAAAAAATTCACAATCTCGATTATGTTAGAAGTAAGTATATAAACAGTGACGAACTTCAGACGTATCAAAGAACCAACTGGCCAGTTGATATCACCGACTTATACATGTATATCATTATTCTGTGATTATGTGTAACCTTACCAAGTCAGACTGACCCCATAAATAAATTATTCCATTTGTTTCTCTATGTTTAGCAACTTAAAAGGGAAGAACATATATTGAAATAATAAAGTAATCTCGGAGAATAACCCGTAATGGGCCTGCGTAGTAAACACAACACATTGTAAACACGTGTGTTTTATATTCTTTGTTTACTTAGACATGAAACATCTACATGTATATTTATGTTGCTGTACGAAACGTAAAGGTTATATAAATTCATGTTTGTTCAATGATTATGGGTAACCATAGATTATTCAAATTTGCCAGCAAATCTCGCGCTCATTTGCATATATGTAAATAATGACAAAAGCAGTGTTTACAAGTTTGCATACAACAGACGTTTAACAGTTCAATATGTAGTAGAATTTTGCTTTATGAAAATATTTTATACCAAAATCTTTCTAGGTGTAAAGCATACGATTATATATAATTACGTTGACTTATTTAAAAAAAAAAACACACATAATTGAATATCTTTCCTTTGCGTTTAGTCATGAAGAATATTTTACTTTCACAGATACATGTAGGATTATCTTACCCGGGACGTATAATAGCTACTTGTCATTGTAACCCGTAACCTTATTGCGCATGCGTTCTACACATCAGCATAAGTCAAAATTTTGAGGGTGTTTGGACAATTTAACATTATAATGGATTATTCATTGCTAAGTTTGGTATTTAGGCAGTTACTCTCCATTTAACAATGATTTTAAACAAATGGAATATTTGCATAATTATGAACAAATCACTGTATAAACAAGGAATTTTTTGTTAATTTTAAAAACATTAAATTTATATACATCTGAACCAAGTCATTAACTCACTTTTGGACTGTTATGTTCCTTATTTAGCTCCTGCTAAAGATGATCGCTCGAAGTCCGGAACTAGTTCCTTGATACTGCCAAGGCTGCGTACATTGGATGTCAGTGAGGAGGGGGATTTCTGTACAAAGATCTTACCATATCTGGTCCAAAAAGAATAAATCTTTTTCGCGTGACGGAGTTTGTTGAGCTCGTTCACAATATACTGACGCTTTTTGGTAAGGGATTCGACGACCATGATACCACTTCCCTTGAGATTTTTCTTATTTCCAAACACGAGTTCCCTGTCATAATATCGCACAAATCTGATGATCATCGTCCCTGTACCTTCTGTAATAGGGCCAATACTATGACATCGTGATATGGATCTCTCGGTTATAGTATCAACACAAATACCACTCTTGATGACACCGAGAACTGCCTTTAGTGCGTCGAAAGTTTGTATTGTATCCCCTTGCGACACATGGACTTTTAATAAATTTCAGACAGGTGCGTCGCGAGTACTGCTCATGTTCCTCCAATATATTACAGTGGGTATCCTTATCTCTTTCGAGTTCTTGAATTTTCGATTTGAGGGCAATTATCTCCAGACATCTGTAGTTTCTGGGTATTACTAATTAGTGATTCCACACATTGATCCACTAAACTTTTCATTTGACTACCGTTTACAAATTCCGAAACAGTTGTTTTTTTTGCTATATGGGGATAGTGGGTTTCATCCAAGTTCCTCTTTATAACATTTGCTACAAGTTCCGATACTGGATCAACCAGGGCATTTACAAGTTTTTGAATAAAAACAGCATCAACAGTTAGTGTCTCATATGGGTAGCCACTCATTGGAATTTCGCCGGGGTGACGGGTTTTAAGCTGGGGTTTCTTAGATAATTTCCCTGAAGGCCTGGGGAGGAATTCCACGTCAGTCGTTTTAAACTATATGTACCTGCATTAACATTGGATTAGCATCCCCTCTCAGGTGGTTAACCTCCACTACCTGTCTGGTCTTCTTGGCCATGTCTATTTTGTTGAGTGCTGTTATCTCCTTGGACACCAGGTTAGCTTGTCGCTGCATCCCACTTTTTGCTCCGGCAGGGATGTTGAGGTGTCCGAGAAGCAGTCTGGCTCCTTTGGTGCTGACAGACTGGCCACATAGTGCTGATGGTAGGTACCTGTTCACAAGTGCTGGCTTTGGTCCCGGCTTATTTGTGTCCGCTTCTCTGTAGAGCTTGTGCAGTGGAGACCGGTAGCTGCACTTAGCACACCGCACGGAACAACTCCATCCCAGGGCCCGTTTACTCTCGGTGTCAAGTTCAAACTCTGGAATTTTGCATGTCTCGTGGTGTTTTTCTGCATGGAGTCTGAATACAGAATTCCACATTTTTACCATTAAGAGTACATCAATAATTCTGTTTCCCTCGATATTGTCCGGTTCAGAGTCTGAGTCTTCCTGAGGAACTGTTGATGGGCGAAGTATCCGAGCTGGACATGGTCTGTCTTCAGTGTCCGAGGCTATAAGTGATCGACCATCATGACTAGGTTTGGTCACCAGCTTGAACTCCTCTGTAGTTAGCCTTCTGGTAAATACAGTCCGGTCATTTGGGTGTCCAGCTTGATCTTCTACAGGCATAAGTGTCTGGCCCTTATTCTTGGGAATATTTCCAGGTTGAAAATGATTTTTCCTCCTCTTAGTATCTCCCTTCATAGTAGTAATAGTAGTAGTGGTGGTCAGTGGTCAGTTGTGTTGAGAATCCAAAATCAGAGTGGTGCTGACCACTTGTCTACTCATTCTTATGTAGTTTGTTTGTTATCAACTTTAAAGATGATGATTTAGAAAACAGGAGAGCCTTAACATCAAAGAGATAGGTCCCTTTCACACACACCCCCCACCCACCCCCCCTGCCTTTGGCACTGGCTATCTGTCTATATGTGTGTATGCAGGTGGCTGTGGGTGCGTCCATGCGTGCAACTTATCTTTATGATAATTGTAATTGTCTCTAGAGTATTTTGTGTAGTTATGGAGACTGAATGATGGTTTTGGCACTGTTTAAATATTCATTTAATGAAAGAGTTTAAATTTTAAAGCAAAAATTTAAATTTAAATTCTTAAAAAAAAATTAAGTTGAAGATTATAATGTAAACAACTTATTTGAGTAAGTGGAGATATTATTCTGCTTCATAAATCACTTTACAGAATTGAAATATCATATTTTTTTCAGAAGATATGATATTTTCCCTGACCCTTGTAGTTAGAAATATATGTAGAAAATGTCTGTCAAACTCAGCACAAAATCACAGTATGATAGAGTTTTTTAAATTCATCATAACTTCTGTTTTATATGTCTTAAAATTACGCGGTTTTCACCAACAAGTTCCAAATTGCTTACAGTTTCAGGAAAAATTTACTTAAAAAAATCAAAAAAAATTGAGTCCTATAATAGGACTGAGGTCACAATTAAATGCTTCCGGGTTCAGTACCCACGAATGAAGTCCCTTAGAAATATAGGTACTTTAGTAAAAACTATACTATGCCTCTTAGAACTTGGTGTTTGTGTAAAAGTTTGGTGTTAAAATACTGTGGAGATATCAATCTAACAATTTCTGTGTCAAATTTTTATATTGTGCATTAATTTTTTGTGCAGGGTGCTGTGTGAAAAGTCCTGTGTTTACCTCTACCCCTGACCCGGAAGTTTATTTTTGACATTGGTGACACCTGCAGACGATTATCTCAAGAAAAAGGCCAACATGCTATGTTGAAATTTTGATATTTTACTCCCAAGATGTTGCTCTTGACCAGGTTAGATGGAAAGTTGGCTATCGGATATTGGGAATTTGTTATGAAATTAAATGTTACAATGAAACATATAGTAAAATTAATTGTGGTCTTAGTCCTATATAGAAGGACTTGTAGCTGGCGGCGGCCCAATACCTGACTTCCGGTCCAGACTTGGCGATAATATACGACGAGTGTTAGGTTAAGGCAAGTATTAGGCATATGAGCCGTCTTACAAAATCTAGACTTATAAAGTTAATATAAATAGGATAGACGGCTCCTTCTCTAACCTGTCCCCCCCTTTTCTATTCTTTACTCATTACTTTATCCCTTCTACTCATTTTCCTTTCTTTTCTTCGTCTGCTTGATAACCGAACTACTCGGTAGTGAAGCGGACGTAAAACCTATCAATTAATCAATGAAAATGTCAACTTATATTTCAGATATTTCCGTACTTGTACCAGCAAACATGCCGTCAACATTGTACAGTTCTGACCTAATCTGCTCAAGTCGGTCACGTATGTGTCAGTGCAATACCGTTTAGACATACGGTTTAAGTGGTTGGCTGACCGTGTCTTATCTGCCAGGTACATATACGTAGCAATCTTGGATCCCGACACACCAACATGGAGTCGGGCATGTTTTTGTGCATATTTCTGTTCATGTGTGGAGTTTCTGCCACTGAAGAACACAAACGCGTGGCGTCATGTGACCCTAACTATTTACATGATCTGGAGACGAAAGTACAAACTATGCTGACGACGGTCTCTTCCTTAACAACACAGCTTACGGATCAACACAACGCTATGACCCAGTTGACGAGAAGGACAACTGAACTAGGTAATAATTTCCTATCATATGAAAATAATCCTTGTAATTTTCTATATATATTACATGTGCATTAATATTAATACTGATAGACATTGTGACGTCATAAGGAACAGATGATGACATATAAATATACGAAAGGTAAATGGCGGCGTTTTTACATATTATTCATATTTTCTCTTACGACAAGATAACATTTCTTTCACTATATAACCCAGAATATTCCAACGATCCCATCTGAATTTTATGAATCTTATTTAAGCTCATCAAAGTTTTTTTATGCAAAGGAATTAAATCTTGCAGATTGATACCCTCGATTTCCCAGTATTTTAAATGGGCAGAATAACTCGTGTTAAAATCATAACATAACCTTTTCGGTCCATCAACCAATTTACGAATAATTTAAACCCCGTCGTCATGTCAGAAGTACATTTTAACGTGAACATTTATAGAAGTCTGTCAGTTCAAATTTGTTTATACATACACATATCCTTCAGTGTAATTTATACTGTTATTGTATAGTTTAATGGCCAATCAGCAATGCAAGTCATTGAGTGCTGAAATGTTAAACTTGTCAATGTATATAGAATATAGCCTAAATACTATATTTATAGTATACAACGTAAACATCTCTTTAGATTTATATACAGCTATATCACTTTATAATAGTGATTATTCGATGGCATACAATATTCTTCATTTACTAGTTTTTTAGATTTCGGATAAGTTCCTGTATCATGTAATAACAAACGTTTTTCTTTTTATTGTGTTTGCGCGGCTGTTTTAAAACTGGTCCTGCAGATTGGAATAACTGTTTGATGCTTGATATATTGGGTGTTGCGAAGTCAGTTTTTAGCCCTGGCTAAATGAAGGTCATGTTAAATGAACCAAGCCCTCGTTAAATGAGGGCCTGGCTAAATGAACACACCATTTTCAATTTATGTCGATGTTTTTTCTCGTTAATTTTAACATCAAATCCTTTAAATTCACCAAAGTTGATTTTTCAGTGTCTGTCAAACTAATAAACCACACTTGGCCGAGCCTCCAAAGTTGCATCCAAATGCAGCTATAGTGTCTTCATCAGAAATGTTCAAAAACTTCTTCCGTGACTATCGACCAAAGGTTAGGATCTGTGCCACTGAGTTTTGGTAGAGTTATATTCAAAGCTCCGCCGTGATTTGGGTGGAATTCCGAGGCAGGCAAAGAGGCGGTGACAAGTCTCTATTATTCCATTTAGCGTTAGATGTGGATGGGAATTCAACTGATTTGGATATTGATTCATGTTGACAAAGCACTTGTTGATGTGACTACAAGGCATGTTGTTGGTGTTAAGAGGGTGGAGATCGTGAAAAGAATATGCCTGCTGTAACCAAGTGTATTGTGAAAGGCGACTAATGTTGGGCTGCTCTGCATAATTCTGCTGCCCCATTGCCACACTTGATATCTGTTTCGTTCATTCTATTTCAGGCGGTGTCTCCCTAGGCCCCCGTCTTAACCCAAATAAACAAACAAAACCTGTTGTTACCCCCACTACCGTTAGAGGCGACTAATGTAGGAAACAATATATTTACGGATACGCAATTTTCAGAATTTGCGTGCACTATCAAGTCGGCATGCGATCTGCGCTCACATGGAGGCAATTACACAAACATACCCTGCTTCCAGCACACATACCAGTGTACCTTTGCCAGTGATCATCGAATTGTTATTCAAATTCTTTAACTGCGCTTGAATGCACAACAGTAGACGAAAGATGGTTTCACTAATCGGATGTGGGGTTCCATCTCTTCAGGCATTTAACACAATTTATGAACGAATTCATGAACCACATCTACGCAAAATACATTACTGGAAAAGACCCAAGATTTCATGTCATATCTTCAAACACAGGCCAAAAATCTTTCAGGAGACATGATCCAACAAGACGACTCGGTGGCAAGGAAGAAATGCTCCTCACTTTGATGAAATATCGCCTAGGCCTTCTGTTTGACGTTTCACGTCAGCACAGCACATGCATCAAGGATATTTGGCACCTGGATAAGGATTTTAAGTCATTTCGTAGGCAGTCTTGTTAACAACCCTCCCTAGGAAATATTAAAAGCTACTTTACCACCATCTTCCGAAACTCCAACATATCAAAATGTTAGATCTATCATAGACTGCTCAGAATTTTTTTGGAAACTCCCCATAACCTCTTGATGAAATCATTGACATAGAGTGATTACAAACATCACAACACTGCAGAGTTTCTTGTGAGTATCACTCCATAAGGAATGATTAACTTCATAGCTAATGCTTGGGGTGACAAACACATCACTCTAAACTCTGGTTTTCTCGATGTCATAGCAGACAAATGGTTTCAAATAGCAGGTGATCTAGCTTTTCTAAACTCCGAACTCAGGTGTAGATCAGATGTCCAAGCAAGACGTACAGAAAACAAAAGCAAACAGACGCATCTTCATTGAACAAGCTATCAGACGTATGAAATCTTTCCGTCTGTTGAAACATGAACTAACAGTTACACTTGTTCCCTACTTAGACCACCACATCTTACGAACAATAGCAGGCCTTTGTAATCTATACAAACCTCTTCCAAGGTACTAAGAAACACTGAATTTATAACATGACAAGCTGTATATAGCTAGTGTTGTTCCGATTAATCAATTTAATCGATGATCAGTCGTTTTACCTCCCACCATGATTTTCTATGATCGATCATGGGTTGACTGAAAACTCTCAACATTTCAAAGAGTTATTGGTATCAGGAGCTGACCAGAAAACTGACATAATGAGCAGTTTTACTAATAAGTTTTAACTGCATTCAGACAACATTTATACGTATGAATGCAAGTAGCTAGATAATTTAGAAGTATCCACACCATTTTAAACATGTCGGTGAATGCTTATCTAGTCATTTTCATTTCATTTTATGATCGATCATTTGGGAAATAGTAATAATTGATGAGAGATTTTGAAGTGATTCTTAAGACTTACCATGAGCCATACATATTTTATATACATATGTACCAATGCATGGCTGATCATGATGACTTGAACTTCACGGGAAAATGGGAAAAAAATACATTATAGGAATTTGTTCATCTACATATATATTACATACGGTATTACTAAACAGTAAAACCTGTATATGCTTCAGGAAATTTGCAGCCAACACTCTTTTTTCATTTCGAATGAAATCAAGTATTATCAGCCATTGTTTCATATATATATAAATAATCGAAACTTGCATGTTGGACTCTATATTAATATCATATATTTTATCAAAACTCAAAAGGAAATGATTTTAAAGTAATTTGACAATAATGATACTAAGTAATAATGTAAATATTTATTAGTATAGTATAGTGATAATCAGCCCCGAGGATACCGATAGTTCGGCTACGCACTCGGGTATTATCGTAGGACAGTGCGGACTCATTACCTCCCGTAGTAATTATATTCGCCGCTTGGTGCGCTGCATGCATTGTTTACTACCGGACTTCCGTCATTCGCGGGAAATTCTGAAAGTCGCTTTCAATTTTCTGTATATCATCATTTAAAATACAAACATGCTACAAAAATGACGTAACATTGTACAAAATTATTGTGCGGACACTGGAGACCACACCATTTTCTAACACTCAGAATTGGAACCGAACCGAACCGATTTCCGGATATCCTTATCGGTGACTCGATTCGAAAGGTCTGATTCGCGAAGCACCGATAATGTCGGTGCACCGCACACCCTTAAATGGTACCACAGGTTACATCCATCACAACAGATACTTTTATCTTTAAATGATTTAACATGGCCTTCCTCTTTTTTAACATGTTTACACATAGGACAGAAGTAGGTAGTGGCAGTTTGCAGAGACAAAGTTGTTCATTGATGGTGTCAGTATTTCTGGGATGAGAAATTTAATATAGAAGACAGATACATTGTTAGAAATTTCACTGTAATATACAGGGTCTACCTTTATTCGCTCCTGATGGACACAATTGCATGTATACACAACAAAATTACAGTAATTCCTTCCAGTGATAGCTATCTGCCCTTGAATTTGGCATTAGTAGCTATGGCATTCCCCGAGACAAAGTTTACCATTACTGTTTTTCCTCAGATATACAGGATATACACAGGTACAAAACACTTAGGACACGTAGCAATCAAGGGTCATTTGAACTCTGCAACTCCCTGGCCACAGCAATCGCATGACATCAGTAAATCGGGACTGGTTGCCAAATATGGAAGACTTGAGGAGCCAACAAAAACACCACTCTTCAGACTTGAAGTTTGTATGGGTTGACTTATTCATGGTCATGATGTGATTCTTTTTTTGCCACTGGTTCCATCATCCTGCCANGGTTTGACCGTTTAAACGAAAACGGCCAAGGTGTAACTATAATTTGCACAACGACATTGAATGCCCGATACGCAATACGGAAATGACGACACGGTGTACATGCACATTTCGATCAAGATAATTGAGTCCGAGCTGTACTTTTTCCGGAAGTACGTCACGAAAATGGACGCTGATGACGATGTGTGGAGCCACCTTAAGAGGCTTCAAATTTGGATTCACTTTGGTATATCCTAACAGGTTTGATATGAGTGGGACTCTATCAACCTCTTTGCCCTTTAAAGACTCCATCTGTGTGTGGACACTATAAAAGTTTGAGGATGTAAGCCTGTTTTCCCTCACTGCTACCCAAAGACTTCTTTCCTTGTCCAATAGTGCTCCTATTGATTAGGTCAACTTCTGCTCTACTGTATGTGATGGAGTTAATAGGTTGGCATCTCAAGGCCATCTTGATGATGAATTTCTCTGTATCAAAACTAGGGAGGGTCGACTTATTCATGGGAACTGGGACGGCTGGTGTCAGCTTCATTTCTTCTCTACCTGTGAAGAACAAAATTTGCAATGACTTTTATTCCAAAGGAAAATATACAGTCCAAGGAAGTACTAACTATTCTTAGGTCACGTATACTTATTCATTACTCTAAATATTAC